AAAAAAAAAGACAGTCTGTATGTATCATGTTACTATTTATTGCACCAAAAGGTATCAGATCCTCTCTCTGTCATTTTTCTAATGGTGCACAGAAATATTCGTAGTCTCTATACAAAAAATAATCAGTTTTTGCAAAAAAAGAAAAAATATTATCAGTAAAAATTGTAAATGTTGTAAGTAAGAAAAAGTCAGTTCTTATGAAAGATCTACATTCATAGCTGTATTGTAAAATAACTTAATAAACTTCAAAAGGGTTAACTTACAGGTGACATACTATCAGATTTTTCTCACTCCTCTTTCTAGTCAATTCTTGTGATTTTTTAATTTTAGATAATCCGTGTTCTTTCTGGGTGATTCCTGCCACGCACCATGCATGGGTGGTGTTTGATCTGGAGCACGAGCACACGCTGACAGGAATGAGGATACTGGGCTGGTGAGTAGGCACATGCACGTGCATGCGTGCCTTTACAAGTGCTCTCATCCACATGCATCTGTTTGTGATGGTTTTGACACTTAAAAAAACTGCTCCTGGGCTTGGGGAGTTCTAGCAATAATTGTGTGCGCATATGCAGGCATGCAGGCACATACACGACCACCATGGATTCAGTCCTATGTATTATGATGGTAAAATGAGGCCATAGGAGCTGTTTGTTCAATAATAGTTAATCAGTTGGATTCTTTTGAATTGATTGAAGTTTGTTAAAAATTTCTTATATTTTTCAGGGAGAGCCCTCAGATGCCAAAAACAGTGGAGCTACAAAAGGCCAATTCTCTGAGGTAAACATTGCTGGAAGAATATCCTCTAACACGTTATCATACAGTATGGAAAAAAAACATGAACTTTCTGTAAACTTGCATATTAAAATTAGTATTTTAAAGCCAGTGGGATTTGTTAATACTCATAAGATAAACTGTTATTTAGATCGCTGTAGTATTGCAGAGTTACAGTTTTATAAAATAAATATTTCAGGGGCAGGTGGCAGACAGTGACGTCGTTCAATGTCAAGCAGAAAGGAAGTCAAAGTCCTAAGGATCCCTGTAAGCAGACTTTAAGCATTATTTATATGGTAACTGTTGGTCTTAAACATAATAATTGTTCAGTGTATTATTTTATACACTGAAAGTAATTAAGTAAGATATATTTCCATGAACAAAAAAATTCATGTATTTCATGCCCTCTATTACTCTTATGTGGCGTGTCATGAAGTCTATTACTGTCTCAATTCTAACCTTTTTTTTTTTAATCGGACATCCAGAAATGCACTAGGTTGTGATTTGCCTCAACTAATGCATTTAGTACAGATCCAGCAAAATATTGTTAAGATTGGCACATCTTATTACCCAAAGTGTAACCCCCCTCCCTTGATTCCAAAATCATTATATGGTACAAAAGATTTATTTCACTCTCTGGAGAAACAGATTTCATCATTCACCTAAATACTTTCGTGACATGTGCACATTAAATCACGCCTTTGTGCAGTAAGAACATGATTCTGTTATTAAGACACCTGGGTGTATTGATTGCTGTTACGTGATCTCAACCCATGTTTCTAGAAAAGTGAGCACAGTTTCTTCAAAACATCACGAAAGGTAAACCTGCTTAAGGGCAGTGTAAGTATAGGCTTAATACAAATCAGATTTTATGCCTAGATTGGGGGACTGCCAATGGTGCCAGTGTGACTAATTTATTAACAAGTCTAATGCAGTTCTGGTTTTATTTCTGTGCATTGTTATCCTTTTTTCATTGAAAAGCAGAATCTCATTGTTGGTGAAATGGTATTTTTATTGCTGCAGTTTTTGTTCTAATTTGGAGGAAATCCAAGAAATGAATAATGACTCCTAGAATTGCCATGACTTAAGAGCTTCATTATTTTTCATTATTGTTTATGGATTTGCCATTGTGTACACCTATTGAAAGATCTAGAATATCTTTCCAATTAAGCATTTTGTCTAACAGTTGGTTGATTTAAGTTTCTACAATAATGAATTGATTGCAAATAATTGTATCATGAGTTATCACTGTAGGTCAACAATATATACACAATTGAATTCTCAACAATATATATACAATTGAATTCTATATTGGGAATTCCTTTCTGATTTAAAAAAGAAATTTTTGCTCATGGTATAGAGTTATTACCTGATGCAGTTTCTGTCTGATTAAACTCACTGTGATGGTAGGAGAAAGTAATCAGTCATTGATCTGCAAAGCAAAAAAGCATTAGGTTCCCACATCCCAGAAAACACAAAAAATAAAGCCCTTTTTCTTTTCTTTTTGGCAAACATATGCCACTTGATGGCAATAAAACAATTTTTTCATAGAAACAAAAGCCTCCAGCAAGGAAAACAGAGGTATCTTTTACAAAGTGTAATCTGACAACAATGATCAATCAATTCAAATGTCTGTGGAAACACTGCTTTATCAATTAAATCAACAGTAACTGTAACTTGTAATAATGCCTCATGATCAAAGAGAATTATTTCAAGTATATAATTTTTCATCTGATCTATCTGCTTTTGATGCAATTGTGTAGTTACCCTAGAAGTGTTGTACATGATTATGCTTTTAATGAATGACAGACCATTGCAGAACTGTATGTTTGTAGTGTCTCTGTTGGGATTTTGCCATCATTTAAAGAAAGACTTTTAGTATCCGTGTTTGTTATGCTGTATGAGATTATGATGGGTTTACCATTTATATCTGGGTATTTAAGAAAAAAGGAACCTGTAAATAAGTAATTTTTTTCATCTTATCCCCCCCCCTCAAGTTTTCCAAGTCTTTGGGAATTATGTTACCATTGCATTTCTGGCATATTTTACCCCATTTTTCTTTAATATTATTTCAGACAGTGCACATCTAGGAAAAGATAAAACTGGCAATTTGTACACTGTGACATAGATATCAAATATTGTTAATTATTTGTATAAAAACATCTTATTTTTCTTTCTAGGTGTTCCTCAAGATTTTCTTGGTTTTTGTTCTACCTCACGCTACTGGCGTTTTCATATTCTGGACAATCATGGCGGGCCATGTACCTGTTTCCAGGGCATTCAGTTCTACGGCATCGATGCTAGAGTTCTTTCTTTCTTTGAACAGCTGGGACTGATGCAGTATGCTGAGGAGTTCATCAAGAAGGGATATAATTGTTACGACAGCTTGCTGAATGTACATCCAACAGATTTAGAAAAAATGGTAGAGTATCTCTCATAATTTTGGGTGTAATTTTAGGTTTAATTCTAATTTTTTGTGAAATTTGTAGAAAAAATGTATATCTCACAAATTTTGGGGCATGCTTTTTACATGCTGTTCATTTTGGAAAAAAAGTTTTAAAAAGTATGTTTTCAAGTATCAAAAGCTAAAATTATAAAATCATGCCTGTAGCATATATCTAATTAAGGTCTTAATTTCTCCTACAGGTTCCTTCAGAAATGCATAGAAGACAAATATCTGTAGCTTTGAAGGATTTAAAACTTAAAGGTATGTTCCATTTTCTTTTCTACTTTTATTTACAAAGTGATGTGTAAATAAATAAATAAATAAATAAATGTTTTGTACTTGCTAATCAGTGATGTTTCTTCCACACCAGAAAGTTTTTTAAAAGCAATCTATCATTGCATTTAATTTAATGAACTCATTTCAAGCAAAAAGCTGTTTCACATTAACAATATCTATAGTTACGTTTAGTTTCAATTTTTATATTCTACGTATACCTTGTAGTCTATCCAATAAGGCGGCTGGCTTGGTTAAAGTCTCCTGTCAACATGGCGCGGGAGGGTGAAACATTGCCACCATTTACCGTACAGTCTGACCCAGAGGTGTCTGAGGAAGTCTCACTGTTTGTTCACGGTAAGAAAAAAAACATGCTCTGTAAATGATTATGAATAAACATGGAATAAACAAGACATTAATATGCGTATTATGTTATTTCTGAAATGGCCTTTGCTATCACACCCATTCATTTAGATATCCTTTTTGCTGTTTTGCTTGCAATGAATTGAAAAAAGTTGGACCCAACAAAATTTGCCAATCTTTTAAGATTGGCAATCAAGATTATGTAATAGTCTCAGTGTTATACTGATTGGAGTCTTAATTTGATGTGAACCTCGTTCTTGTATCCCCAAATGTGATTAATTTAAAGATACATAAATGGAGCCTCCCAAGATTTTACAAATTGAATTGATATACCATAACAAATCGCTGAAATATTTCCAGGAAAAGCAGAGGTCAAAGGTCGTACAACTGTGAGTCTCGTACCTCAGGGCCCAAGATACCCTTCCACAGCAACGTTTGAAGGAATCGAGATTTACCCTGGTAAGTTTTAGTAAGTCACAACTGATGGGTCAGTCTGATGGTGGTTTAAGCATGTGTGTGTGTGTGTCTACATATGTGTGTGCTTGTACATGTGTGTGTGTGTGTGTGTGTGTGTGTGTGTGTACAATCTTGTGTTAAAGTATGTGAGTGAAAAATAAAGAAGGGAATAATGAGAAAAAGAGTTTTTGAACTTTTTAGTTCCCCAGATTCTAAAAAGGCTTTGTCTTGTAAGTGTACAGCACTCATCAAACCATTACTACCTGTCTGCTTAACATCATAAAGTGTTAACATTAGGTGGGAAGATTGCCAAAAATAGTTGTAAATTTACACTGGCCCAGCACCACTGAAAGGGTTATTGTCACAGGAAGTGTGACTCCTCTGGGAGCCGAGAACACTTATCTCTGAATGTGCAGCAGTTTAGAACACTAATAGAAGCTTTTAGCGGGACATATTGCAAAGTTCATGACTGTTTTATTTGTTGTTCCATCCATCAGGATAACAATGTTGATGTAGAAATATGTGAAGTGTGCAGGTTAATTGTTTTCTTAATGAAAGTTAATGTATTTGGTTGTGGCTTTTTGGTGGAGTGAGATAGAAGAGATAGTACAAGATGAAAGGAGGAGGGATGTGTAGTTATGATGTATCATTTGTAGTATTTGTCAAGGTCACTGTGATGTCAAGGTCACTGTGGAGACTGATTGAAGAGTCAAATGGCAGTGATGATTTTCACAGGGATTTCCTGGTCTTTAATAAATTTCCAAAACGTACAAAATTGATTTTTATTTACACCCAAAACCCAAATAAAAAAGTATAAATAAGCCTTTTATGTGAAGAATAATTGTTTTAGTCAGAACCACTGTCAATTGTTATAGCTGTAGCAAGGCTCTTTACAGAGATGATGAATTGCTTCAGCTTCACCTAAGAGACTGGAAGAACACTGGTGTGTAAAAAAAAAAAAGAACACATCTCTATTAAAAAAAAGAACACCATTTTTTAATACCCTATGGGTGCCTTAATGAATTTGCTAAGTCAAACAACAATTATTAATAAATTAAGTTAAGAGAAAACAAGATGAGGTTAACGAGACATTACATTGTTTAAAAAAATAAAGAAAATTGCTTGCAATTATATGATATCCGAGACCAAATGCTTAATATATGATAAAAGACATGGATATTTAAGAATTTGATCTTGTTTAACATTTTATAATTATTTTTATTTATTTTAAATTCCCTCATTATGCAGTCATTGGGAAGATTTGCATTTGTCAAAACAATTAGCCATTTAGCTGAAATAAGGAAAAAAGTGTCAGCTTAATAAGCATACCAGTTGTGACCAATTCTCTAGGGAGTTTTGTATTCACAGAAAGACACATTTTAATTTACACTTGGTTAGCTCTTAGCATTATTAACCATCCCATAAGCACAAATGTCCACCTTCTCGGAAGAAACTACTCCAACATTCCCAAGTTGGACTCATAATGGTGTTGTAGTTGGAGTAAGAGGATTTCACTTTATCCTCTGAGGGTTTCCCCAGCTCATTAACTTACCATTAGAGCCATCAGTGGAGTTAAACAGATATTGACCTGTGCAAATGAGCAATTCTCACTGTCAATTGTCAGACTTGTTTCATTTGGATGTCTATAAGCAGCATCTTTGAGGGTGATCCACTTCTTGATTAGCCTCTCCTAAAAACAAGTAGTTCACAGTCATTCATTAGGGATATCTTTGGGCATTTTTGGATTTACCATTAACCTTGTCCAGATGACACCCTTGGGCAGTTTATGTCCTTGAATCTCCTTAGTGTGTTGATACTGGGGTTTCAGTGTGTTGATACTGGGGTTCCCACTTTTTATGTACAGACACAGATGTGTCTGTACATATTGCCATCACCTGCGTCTGTCGTCGCCGTCGCCGTCGCCGATCATGTCGCCGTCGCCGTGCACTTTCAGCGTTAACACCATAAGTGGAAGACAGTTTTACTTTTTGGCTTAATATTTACAAAGCTGACTAATATTCATAAAACGCAGGTCAAGTTCGAAAATCAGCATAATCTGGCCATTATTGTAGAATTTATGCTGTTTTTTCACTTTTTAGCATATATACAACACTGTTAACACATTTCAAGGAAAACGGATAGGCCTGTTGTCATGAAACTCACAGGAGTAATCAATCTTACTAANAAATTGTGGTCTGTTAGGGAAACTTCTGCAAATGTATTTATTCTGATCATTTTTATTAATTTTATTGATTTCTTTGACCATAACCTGAGGATAAGTATTTGTACTATAACATTATTCTACAGTGTATCCTGTGCAGTGGGATACTGTACATTCGTTCTTAAGTTTCTAACTGGTGTGCACATTTCGCTCGTACATGCTCACACTTACAAACACACACACACACACGTGTTGAAAGGATCTGTGAAAGGGCCACTGAAATTCCCCTTATGGTGTTAATTGTTCATGAAATGATTCCTGCTTTGCAAAACAAAATTAGAATCATAATCATATAATTATACAGAATAGTCACAATGTCCATAAACAATTCCACAAAATATGTTCTAACAATATTCAGTGTGTTGAACAAAGAATACACAAAGACAAACATTTCAGCCACCAGCATCTTGCTTGCGAATGAATCATAATCTGTTTCTTGAAAGTTGATAATGATGGCTTTAACATTGACTCAAGGTTGTCAAGAAAACATTACACAGTAATATATATTTTATTAATCCCAGGACATGCAATTTAAATCCTGCTCATACCCATTGTTGATAATAATGATTATAGTGATAATCCATCTCATTCCCTGCAGCATGTATACTGTAATACAATTGCCAATTTGTCAATTTTTATTTACATAATACTCTTTAATTTTAATCATAATATATCATATATTTCCTAGGTAACACAATACCTCTATGTCCATCTGTCATATTTCATGTTCATGCTATCCATAATTATAGTTATTATGTATCGTATCCATTTATAATGTAACATAGCAAAGTAAATGTGCCATGCTTTTGTATACATTGTCATTTATCATGTTGTATTTAATTGTGATTGTGATGTTACATTTTCACACACGATATAATATAAAATAATTATATGTCATTTTTCCCTCACAATGAATTCTGTTGATGTTCATTCATCACATTCATGTCCTATTCATTGTGTTTCTTATTGTGGTTATAATGTATCATATTCCCATGTATGGAATTTCATGTGTCAATAACAATATATCATATTTAAACATAATGAAACGTATTAATTAAAATGTATCACATTTAGCTACAGTGGAACACTTTGATGAAAATTATCATATTTAGATACAATATTATACCGTTTTAATGACAATGTATCATATTTAGATACAATGTAATATATGATATTTTATATTTCCAGCTGGCAGATATTTGATAGAAGTCCACTGTACCAGGTTTCCACAGCTCTCCTTACAGGCGCCACAACACATAGAAATAGGTGAGGTCCCTGGGATAAGGGCCCATTCCCAATGAAAGTATCAGTCTATATAGATCAGTCAAACTCCTCGGGTACTCTTGCTGAATGCAATCAGATTAAAAGATTAACACACTTCCTCCTGGCATTGAGAAGAATATAGATAAGCTTGTGATTATGAGTACAATGGAAACAAGAGAAGGCGTGTGTTTTAGTTAATGTGATTGCATTCAGCAAGAGTCCCCACGGTGTTGAAACGAATAATAGTTTCAGTGGGAATGAGTCTTTAATTTGTTGTGTAACATGTTATACCAGTCATCTCATTCATCATTAAGGACAATTAACAATGATGGATTTTAGTCATTACATGTTATATTTAATCCTCAGAGAACAAAGTGGCTGTAAGAAAAAGTCTAACAATAGAAATATTTAAGTTTTTATATTTATTTAATAATGTTTTGGACAACCTGCTTGTAACATGTATTAATGCATCAAGAATTTAAACTAGAAAATACAGGATGTTTTAAGAAACAAACTTGATGTGGGGTAGTTTAGATATGTATAGTAAGCCTTGAATCCATCTTTTCTTTTGCATGATGTTAGATGAACCTCTTTATTTGACTTTGTTGCCTTAACTTGGTTGGTGAGTGAACATTTAGTGTCTCCCAAACAGTTTATTCTTGGCTTATAACAAACATACGTCTTAAAAATAATTTTTCATTTTAATTTTCTCTGTCTGCAGTGACAGCCATTGCTATTTTTCCAAGATTTAAGTATCTGATTTAATTTTTTTTTATCTGATTTAATATTGACACAAACAATCCTAGTTCAAAACAAACCAAAAGTAATATATAGAAAAATGAACTTGCAAAGAGCTTGCCCTGTATTGATACACCTAACATCATTGTTAGCATATTGAAAATATATATACCTGTCCAGTTACCAAATATGCAGTTTCCATGCTGTATTTAAACTTTTATTAAAATAAGTTCATTTGTTCAACTCAGGTCCAACCCCCCCCCCCCCTTTCCCGTCATCCTTTATTCTTTCATTGATCTTTTTTATCATGAAGAAGATCTTGAGCAATCCACTATTCATTTCCTCAAGATACATTGTTTCTGCTTCATAATCTGCCTTCAGCTTTTTCTGTCAGCAGTTTTCTTACCTATTCTGCCCCAGTTTTGATCAAACCAGCAGTAATTTGTCACTATCTCAGTTATAGTAGATGTANTCACCTGTTGTGCAAGGTTAAAATTCAGTGTTGACTGACAGTGCTATTATAAGCATTATTTATTATTGCATCAAAATTGACAAAATGATCTTTTTTGCATCTTTATTTTCTGTTTTTTGTCTGTACATTTGACAGCTTTGCTGCCTTGTTATCATGAAGAAGATCTTGAGCAATCCACTATTCATTTCCTCAAGATACATTGTTTCTGCTTCATAATCTGCCTTCAGCTTTTTCTGTCAGCAGTTTTCTTACCCGTGCTGCCCAAGTTTTGATCAAACCAGCAGTAATTTGTCACTGTATCAGTTATAGTAGATGTAAGACCAGCTTCCCTAGAAGTGTGTGCATTAATATTCCTGCTGGCAGCTTTTTGTTGGCCAAGCTTAAAACATTGAATTTACACAGAAATTCTGTATTGTTGAACTGGTATATAGGGAGCGGTTATTGTATATATGTAACGCCCCTTGTTAAAAAACATGTGACATTGTCACATACTTGCATTTATGTTGATTAAACGTATGAGAGGTGAATTTAGGGAGAGATGATCGAATCAAAGAAAGTAAGAGTGAGAGATGGAAAAATGTTAAATCCCTACCCTTATTCCATAGAGAATCTCTTTGAAATATCTCCATTAGAGTTGAAAACAAAAAAATCCATTGTGTGTCATTTGCACTGAAAGACATTGTCTTCAGGGTAATATCTTGTCGGAGAGAAATTAATATGTGACCATTTTCACTCTCCCTAGGGTTCTGTGTAACATTTAACACAATTGGCTTTGAGTGAAAACAAATTCTTTGTGCCTTCCTCTGGTAATTCCCATTTAATAAGCCAGAAAATGCTGCAATATGCCACCTGTCATAATAAAAAGATCGAGAAACTACTTGTGAAATAAAACAAGTTGTTTAGAATTCATTTTGTATTTTTTATTAGAAAAGCTATTTAGGGGTCATCCTGTTTGACTGGGAAAAATTATGTCATTGCTTCAACATGGTAATATGTGTAGTGGTAGATTTTTTATTTTGTTTTATTTTATCTAACATTTATTTATTAATTTATTTATTTTATTTTTTGGTGATAAGGCAGTATGGAAAATAGTGCAAAAATATTCTGATCATTTCTTTGTTTATATTTATTATTATTTATATTTGTTCATTTTATGTATTTTTATTTATTTATTTTTGCCTTTTTGTTTATTAATTTTAACGAAAAAAAGGTCACTTTGTATGTAAAAAAATTTAAGCTCCAGTTACTCTTTTTCATATTTTTTTTTCTTTTTGAACAAGCTTTTGAATGAAGTATGTGTTATTTCATTATTCTGTTAAANTATTATTTATATTTGTTCATTTTATGTATTTTTATTTATTTATTTTTGCCTTTTTGTTTATTAATTTTAACGAAAAAAAGGTCACTTTGTATGTAAAAAAATTTAAGCTCCAGTTACTCTTTTTCATATTTTTTTTCTTTTTGAACAAGCTTTTGAATGAGGTATATGTTATTTCATTATTCTGTTAAAATTACATCAATCTGAAATCATATCCTTTCCAGTTCAACGAGCCAAGGATCCGTCTGAGGTCACAGCAGCCTTTGATGAGCTGGAGGACATGTTGAGAAGCATGCAGGCATCTTTAGGGGAAAGTCTGAATGGAAACAGTTAGCAGGGGAAAATATGTGTCATCAAGAACTAGTGTGAGAGGAATGTCTGATGGAAATGTTTGGAATGAGTTGCACAGTATAAAAAATAGGATATCAAAAGAATTGTTAGTAACAGATAAACTGTTACCTGATCTTCAAACATTAATCTGTTACCTGAAGGGGAATTGTACTTGGATCTTGAAATCAAGCTACAAATGAAAACAATTAACAAAAAAATGAGCTTGTGATGTAATGACTGAAATGAAATATGGATGGGTTAACACCATCAGAATGGTTCTGAAAACGTGCCATTTCTTACCTCATCAGTCTTGATTGCAAGTGTCATAATTAAGTGTATTATTCATTTGTCTGACATAAGCTGTGATTAGTATTAAACACAAGAACAAATGAGATTCGTATGTTTCAAGTGTATGAACAGTCTTAAAATGTAATATAGGCTTGTTTCCCATCAAGCAGCATATATATATCCAGACTGGTGCAATTGACAGGCTTAATATGTACACTGAAGAGGGGGGGGGATCTTTTTCACAAATTGGCTTCCTGCAGTTAATTAATTGGTCTTGTGGGACATGAGGAATCTGTTTAGGTGGCACTTGTATTATGTAGTTTTCAGTCTCTCAAAGTCCGCACCAGTCAAGGACCAAGCATATTATTGTGTTGGGTCCTACATCCAGTGAGATGTACTGCTAGATGTGAAAAGCGGATAAGAGAGTGAAGCTTCTCATTGTTTGACATGTTATACATATCAGCAAATATGTCTTGTTAGTGAGATACATAAGACTAGGTAAACACTGCCCTTTGAGGACTCGGGGGGGGGGGGCATACCAGTTTATAGCGGACAAAGTGAAAATAAAACTCACAGTGAATATTTATTCAAATTAGAGAATTTTATAAGATTTACAAAAGCTAATATATACTTATAGGAAGCATAGCCTGTATATCATTTTTGTTTTTAAACAGCATAATTAACTACTGTAGACTAGTGTGTACAAAGTAATGTGAATTATTTATAAAAAGTAATGTGAATTATTAAACAACTTCAAGTGTGTTACATGTCCCCAATAACAGTGCTGTGAGTATGCATAATTTGAAGTATTTTTTAAAGCAAGACATGAGGGGAATACATGCAGAGCCTTTTGACATATCACGTGTTGCGTAAAGTTCCTACAAGTAGAGATGACTTTTTCTCTTGAAATTCCAATAATATACTTCGCATTATATCTTAGATAGATCAGAGATTACATCAGTGACATAAATGTTACTGTAGCACAGAAACTTAAATCTACTTCCATGGACTAATTATGCCTTTTATATTAAGTGATCCTAACTAGCAAACTATTGCAGCATATGTGCCTAATTTCTTGTATTCAAAACTCAATTATCTTAACAATCTGAGGAAATTGTTATGAGCGACTAGAATGTGTCTGTACGTTTGACAGCTTTACTGTCTTTTGAATTGTTATCTTTTACTTTTCACGTGGGAACGGTGCATGGTTTACCATCTTAAAGTGTTTGGTTCTTTGTTGGTTTTATATACATCAGCAGCTGTATACATGTATAAAAAACATTTTAGTAGGATTATAGTTAAGGTATGTGCGGGAATTTTATGCTCAGAAAGCGTCAAAATATGAAACAAAATTTCACGATTTTGGTAGTAACATACACTAGTGGGCTGGATTTGGTCTTAAAGTGCAATTTAAGTTCACAAGTGATCTTACACGATCTTAAACATTACAGCAGTAGTCTTAAAATGGACTGAATCTGCTTTTAAGATAAAAAATGATCTAACATCTACTTAAGTGGTCAAACAGTTTCCTCCCCTCACAATGGGGGATACCTCCCCTCACAATAGGAGAATGTGTAAGGGGAGACAACTTAATGGGCTGTTAGACCAGAAATAGTCTTACTCATGGTTTAAGATCATGTAAGACTATTTGTGAACTTAAATTGCACTTGAAGACCAAATCAAGCCCACTAGTGATAGCGGTGCGTATATCTATATACACACAAGATGGTGGATACTTTATTACGTTTTGGAATAGTCAAGAAAGTCTTCCTGTGGGCCTCTGGAATTATTCCTTCGAATTTAGTCAGTTACGGGTACTGTCGTTTGAAAGAGATTCGATATTACAATTGCTATTCTGCTATAGCGAATTGTTGAAGGTTACAGTTTTTAGAATTACCTTGATGCAATACGTGGAATTATTGCGATTTTTAGGGCTGAAAATATAATTGAATACAATATTTTGATTTGAATGATGCCGTTAGATGAAGGCTAATGGGTTAAAGATGTAATGTTATTGCGTAGGCTCTGTCACAAGTTCAGCTGTATATAATGTATTTGTAGACAATTTCAGTGTAAGTACAGCATGAAGTCTTTTCAACAGATTTTTTATATGAAGTACCGGTAGTTAAGCTGGAAAATGGAGTTTTTTTAATTCAGGCAAGCGAGGAAGTATCTTCCATAGAACAAAAATATTTATAATTTCAAATCTGTCTGCATGGGGAAGATAGGCAGTGCAAGAGATATTAAGTGCAAAATGGCGTTCTTATGTAAGTACAAAGATGCGTTCCCGAAGAAAAGGATTTTATGGTTTCATTTCTGTTATGCTTCTGTGAAGTGGGATAATTACCATGTATAGCACTGTCATCCAAGCCTTGTTACTGGTACATTCTGAGGCCTTCGAAAATGAATAAACAGCTCGTATATTCAATTGTTTGAGTTTTTAAACGGTTTATTTTCACCGAAAAAATACTCTGGGTACATGAATGTGCTTCAAATATTGATACTGAGATAGAGATGTTATTCGCACTTGATAAGCATGTATTAATGAATGATGGTGAAAAATTAATGTAAAAGCCAATTTCCAAAGTCAAAACGTTTGCCAGCCAGGCTACGCAAAGATATGATTAATACGGTAAACTTGTCGAGTGCTCTCGTCAACGGTTTGTCGTTTGATATCGGTAATTATCAAATACACGATCAATATCGTTAATAGTGGTTATTTAAGCTGATATATTTTTACGGCAAAACGACTGGGGAATCGTTCATTTGGGAGCAAGAGACTTATAATGGTGGATTTGTCAATCTTAGTAATTGATCTTCCCCTAAATTAAAACGCTAAGCTGAAAAAGCAGTACTTGGTAGAAAACAGATGTATCACTTCGCCACCGAAGCCCTGGGAGTATTGTTATCGTGCCATACACCAGCTTTTTCTACTCTTATGATTATGTAATTTGGATAGAATCAGGTGTGAATTGCGTCTGCTTTTGAAATCTTCAGACGCGTGCCCTGATCTTGCGTAATTTTAGTTACATTTTAAAGTGTTCTCCTATCACGTAGTGCATTACATAATGCGTCCCTTTTAGAGTGTCGCTTTGTCTGTCTGAAAACAATGCTTTTTTAACGGTTATCTTACGTCCTAGGATACACTATTTGTGTAAATGATCAATTCATGTAATCATTTTGTCCCGAGCAGACTAAAGCCCCGATCGTATGCTTTGATATGTGCAAAGGGACTGCAGTGAGTTGGTTTTTATTCTTCAAAAAGGCCTTTTTTTCCCAGGCCATCCCGCTGAGACCATGTTTGATCACATGTCCTGATTCTGAGGCCAGAATCTTGACTTTTGCCCTCTGATGTTATAAGCAACAACGCTTCCGACTTCTCCAAAGCAGTCCAGATTACATCAATTATTGATTTATATAATTGATAACAAAATAAATTTAATTTCCTTTCTTTATTGATTGGATTTCTGTAGATATAAAGTTCCAATCAGTTTAATTCAAATTAATTATGTTTTATTGACATTACCCCTTTTCGGTACCGTAAAGATGTTTTGACAAAATGTTAAACACTAAATATATTTACATTTACAAATGCAAGAGTCGTGTGTAGGGGCTAATAACATAATGACAGACAAAGTTATTCAGTGCTCAAGTTACTGACAACTTAACTCGTGTCTGTTAATAATTTGAAGCTTGTTAACATGGCAACTGAAATAAACGATACGCCGTTTTGCTCAGACCTATATTTGCTGTAATCTGTACAATTTTGATTTTTTGTCGACAATCTCAGAATTCCTATATTTGACGTGGAATCGATCTATGTTTGATCTGTTATCGCAGGTGAATGTTACATATTAATATCACCACGTGGGCCTTACCTTAAAACATGTCACAGAATGTATGTCACATTATCACGTGGACCTTACCCTAATACATGTCACACTATCACGTGGACCTCACATTTATATATGTCACAGAACCAAGTGGGCCTTTCTANAAGTATGTGTTATTTCATTATTCTGTTAAAATTACATCAATCTGAAATCGTATCCTTTCCAGTTCAACGAGCCAAGGACCCGTCTGAGGTCACTGCAGCCTTTGATGAGCTGGAGGACATGTTGAGAAGCATGCAGGCATCTTTAGGGGAAAGTCTGAATGGAAACAGTTAGCAGGGAAAACATGTCATCAAGAACTAGTGTGAGAGGAAAGTGGCATCAAATGAAAGCATTGTCTGATGGAAATGTTTGGAATGAGTTTCACGGTATAAAAAAGAGGATATCAAAAGAATTGTTAGTAACAGATAAACTGTTACCTGATCTTCAAACATTAATCTGTTACCTGAAGGGGGATTGTACTTGGATCTTGAAATCAAGCTACAAATGAAAACAATTAACAAAAAAATGAAAATGAAAAATGTAATGACTGAAATGAAATATGGATGGGTTAACAATATCAGAATGGTTCTGAAAACATGCCATTTCTTACCTCATCAGTCTTGATTGCAAGTGTCATAATTAAGTGTATTTAGCTGTCATTTGTCTGACATTAGCTGTGATTAGCATTAAACACAAGAACAAATGAGATCCGTATGTTTCAAGTGTATGAACAGTCTTAAAATGTAATATAAGCTTGTTTCCCATCAAGCAGTATATATAATCAGACTGGTGGAATTGACAGGCTTAATATGTACATTGAAGGGGGGGGGGGTCTTTTCCACAAATAGGCTTCCTGTAGTTAATTAATTGGTCTTGTGGGACATGAGGAATCTGTTTAGGTGGCACTTGTATTATGTAGTTTTCAGTCTCTCAAAGTCCGCACCAGTCAAGGACCTAGCATATTATTGTGTTGGGTCTTAGATCCAGTGAGTTATACTGCTAAATGTGAAAAGGGGATAAGAGAGTGAAGCTTCTCATTGTTTGACATGTTATACATA